AGTTGGACATGTACACCTTACAATCATTCCATACACCAAATATAGTAGACCTATTGCTTATACTGTTTTAGTGTCAATCATTATTCATATGATGCCCACATGCAACTGATTACTATGGTTGCCTTTTGTTACTAAGTCTTAAAGGATTAAAATCAGGATAAGACAAAAAAAATGTCCGGCTGGCTCAAAAAATTTTTGGAAGCCCTGCCTTATTGTATCTGAGATTTGAACTTGACCATTAAAACTTAACCTTGTTCACTGATCCATGAAATGAGGTTGAGGTCAAGTGAAAACTGTCTGATGGGCATGAGGACCTTGCAAGGTACGCACATACCAAATATAGTTATCCTATTACTCATAATAAGAGAGAAATTAAGAATACTAAAAATCTTAACTTTTTTTTCAAGTAGTCACTGAACCATGAAAATGAGGTCAAGGACAATGGACATATGACAGACGGAAACTTCATAACATAAGGCATCTATAAACAAAGTATGACGGATCCAGGTCTTCTATCTTCCAAAACATTAAGCTTTTAAGAAGTTTGTTAATGCTGCAGCTGCGATCACTATCCCTATGTCGAGCTTTCTGCGACAGAAGTTGCAGGCTCGACAAAAACTACCAGTATGCAAAAATTTACTATATTCTGCATATATTACAGTGGTTACATGGGAAAAAAAAACTCTATTACAAAGATCTCCCTCTTACTCTATAAGTAATGCACAAGAGAATACCTATTTTTGGGGCCATAGATTATAAAAAGTTATCAAACAAGCTCTACCACTGTTCTAAGTAAATTGTATATAGGGACACTAGGACCTTCATAGCTAAAGAGGGTTATATACATCTCCAGATCCTTGTAATGGATTTCAGGTATTAGTAATAATTATATCATTCAATATTTTTTATTTATTATCTTCTTTAATAACAAACCTAATCACTTCTGTAATGAATACTATCAAACACAATGCAAGGAATGATGAGAGACTTTCACCAGAGCAATGGATATTTTAATTATAGAGTGCCCCTATAATCACATAAACAAAACAAATAACTTTCTGTTATGATATAGCAAAGCATATAAGGGCTATATGTAGTTATGTACATGTACATATGCGATACCACACACCATAAAAGGCTGAAAAACAGTAGTCAATGATGAAGTTCCAGAACCACTGAACCCCATTTTTTCAGAAATTTTTGGATCCTTATCCACTTAGCATTAGCATAAAGGAACATGTTTCTGAAATTGATGTTTTAGTAAAAAACCTAAACATGTCTATAACAAGCTATCATCCATGAAGACATTAGCACAAACAATTAAGAAGGAGAAGCACCATATGGATTCTAAAAACACAAGGTGTCACAAATACAAATTTTAAACTCATTTTATGTAGCAATATTTAGCTTCCTTTTTGATAACAGAATAAACTAGACATCATTGAGATGGGAGCCATCTGTGGGCCCCGCTGTGAATATTGTGTGGTAAAAAATTTGTATCTTTATCATTGGACATGGGGTTGTCAACTGAAACCAAAGTTTATGACCTTGACCTTTGACCTAGGAAGTTGTACATACATTATGACACACCCTCTGGTGTTGGTTTATATACATGTCAAGTATAAACTTTGAAATCATAACGGTTCTCAAGATATAGAGCGGACACGATCTTTACCATAGGACATGGGGTTGGCAACTGAAACCAAAGTTTTTGACCTTGACCTTTGACCTAGGAAGTTGTACATACATTATGACACACCCTCTGGTGTTGGTTTATATACATGTCAAGTATAAACTTTGAAATCATAACGGTTCTCAAGATATAGAGCGGACACGATCTTTACCATAGGACATGGGGTGTCAACTAAAACCAAAGTTTTTGACCTAGGAAGTTGTACATACATTATGACACACCCTCTGGTGTTGGTTTATATACATGTCAAGTATAAACTTTGAAATCATAACGGTTCTAAAGATATAGAGTGGACACGATCTTCACCATAGGACATGGGGTTGTCAACTAAAACCAAAGTTTTTGACCTTTACCTTTGACCTAGGAAGTTGTACATACATTATGACACACCCTCTGGTGTTGGTAAATATACTTGTCAAGTATAAACTTTGAAATCATAATGGTTCTCTAGATATAGAGTGGACACAATTTGTTAAGGACGGACAGACGGACGGACAGACAGACGGACGAACAGACAGACGGACGGACAGACTGATCACTATAGGGCGTCCGCGATTCGGCGCGGCACTTATCAAAGTACTGAAGTACTGAACATCGGATGACCGCAAGTTCTTGTGGATGGTCAAAAGCACTTGTCACAGAAAAAAATTCGTAAGGGTTCCGCGGAACCCAGTGTCTCGCCTACTTTTGCTGTTAATCACAGGCTCAACAAAATTGAGGAAAACAATTAATAAAAATATTCCTCTCTATACTATCTTTTGATTGTAAGTAGCTTCTGTCCAAGTTTGGTAAAAATCCAGGATAGTTTATGAATCTAATAAATGTTTTAAAAACTTAAACTGCAGACTGTTATGTAATGTTAGCTGGAAGAAAAACTAAGTCCATTTATAAGTAAAATAGGGAAAAAATGGAACAAAATTTCCTTCTAGATACTAGCTTTTAATCATAAACAAGCTTCTGTCCAAGTTTGGTACAAATCCAGGATAGTTTAAGAAAGTTGTTAAAATTTTAAAAACTTTAACCACAGAGTGAATGTAATGTTAACTGGCAGAAAAAACTAAGTCCATTTATAAGTAAAATATGGAAAAAATGGATTTTTTTTTTTACAAAATTTACTTCTGGATACTATCTTATGATCATAAACAAGCTTCTTTCCAAGTTTGGTACAAATCCAGGATAGTTTAAGAAAGTTATTAAAATTTCAAAAACTTTAACCACAGAGTGAATGTAATGTTTCCTGGCAGAAAAACTAAGTCCATTTATAAGTAAAATACGGAAAAAATGGAATTTTTTTTTTACAAAATTTACTTTTGAATATTATCTTATGATCATAAACAAGCTTCTGTCCAAGTTTGGTAGAAATCCAAAATAGTTTAAGAAAGTTATTAAAATTTCAAAAACTTTAACCACAGAGTGAATATTTGTGGACGCCGCCGACAACGACGACGACGCCGACGGAATGTAGGATCGCTATGTCTCGCTTTTTCGACCAAAGTCGAAGGCTCGACAAAAATCACATCCCTATACCTGAAACTAAGGTTAATGTACAGAGATATATTTTTTTCTGAGACAAGTTCGTGCGTGAATGATGAATAAATGACAGGAAATTCAACCTTACCGTAATAACTATTATATTGTAGTGATACAAATCAGTATACACTGGTTTGTTGTTATATATTATATTAATATGACAGTTACATACATATATAATTTTCATCCATTTGTATATCATTCTTTTATACTATTCTAATTACAGTGCAGTGCAAGTGCATGGTGGACACTCTTCTGTAAAAATTTGATTTTTCTAAAAGATTGGAAATGAGTAGGCATTCATATTTTCCTGCAAAAACAATTACAGAGTTACCGGTCCTTGCCGGGATTGTCGCAAAAAGTTCTTGAGATATTCTTCCGCATGCTTTAACAAAATTTTTTGGTACGTGTGCATAGATATTATCAATGATTTTTTACTTATATATATATATATCTAACAACAAAACATTTTCATACTATTAATTTATGTTCTAAACAAAAATATTTTTATCAGTATTCATGGAAGAGATGTATTTATAACAAACGATAAGGAATGTTAGTTTGCACTTGTTAATATCCGCGTATTTATCATGTTTATAGATTGGTTACAAACCCAAAACGAAAGTTACGTATTGGAAATCTAGGCGATAGCAATACATCGGAATGCCCTTGCGGTTATCGCGATGTAAAAATTGGAAGAATTACAAAGTGATATGGATCAAAATATTTAATTGACCACTGCTATATATACACACATAAATACATGTATATAGGGAAACTATAATTATCTCAAGATTATGACAATAACAACTCATCAAGTATACTTTAGTTCAATCACATGTGGTTCTTTAGTGATCATAATTCTGTCATGTCTTTTTTTCTAAATGCTTACATAACCTTCAAGACCTTGCAATACATTTTCAAGTGCAAAAAAAACCCTATCCTGTTGACATATCTTTTAATTCATCAAATTGCTTCTTGTTTTTATGATAAATCAATTGACAAAAACACATCAAATTTGAGAGTCTTATATATTTACTGAAATGTCATGACAGCAAAACCAATGTTTAAGATCTTGTGAAGATTTCGACTTTATGGATCAAATCAAAATCGACACAATATCTAGAACATTAAATATATTTTTTTCATTCCAGATACGTGAACTTCCATAAAATTATAAAAAAAAACAAGGCTTAATTAATTAAGTTTCTATGTAAATTTATAGCCAATTGTTTTGTGAAAGCATCAGCAGTCATATGAACAGATTGAGAAAAGCAAGATTTAGCAAAAGCATTGCACAACTAGTCACTGCATAAAAAGAATATTGGGTAGAAAATAAATAAAACTTTTTTTTAATGAGGCTTAGAAACAGGGGAAGGGCAAGGTTTACCAAGCTCTTCAACAGCTTAGTGTTAATAGAAATAATCGATATTTTTCTGAAATTGACCCATTGTTTATATACCGTAGATTAAAATGGCTACAATTGCAGTTATTAAAATGTTTACACAAAAATTTAACTTATTTTACATCCCTAAATGAGCCAAATAATTGTGAGAAAACATGATTTGACATGAGATCGGCATTGCACGAAATATCCCTGTTACTATATATGGTAAATAAAGACAACAGGAAGTGTTTCTGCTGCAGTATTAAACAGAATAAAGGATATCAAGTCTGTCAACTCTTGTAATTTAACATTCCTACCTAATGTAAATATACATCTATGGACATCTTTTTAAAGAATAAATACAGCATATAGAAAATTTTAAATACAAACCTTCATAATCTGTATCTTTCGTTCTTCCCTTTTTCTGATCCTCAGGAAGAAAGAAACGACCGCTGGCCCTTTCATTGATATTAGCACCATTTTCAATAAGGACTTTCACAGCTTCAACACTTCCAAAAATAATAGCTATATGCAAGGCACTTTCACCTGTAAAAACAGAAATTTGTTATGACTTGTAGGATTCGAGAGGATACAGATCTAGAGGAACAAGAGTGGCTGAAATGTCTCGTCTGCTTTATTGATAGTGATTGAATTTTATGTTGAAAGTTTTTAAGATAAAATTTTTACTACAAGTATTACATGAACTTATATTCAGGAACATGAGGTCAAGGTGACAAGGTCAGATCAACCTGTAAAACTGATATGAACACTTAACAATCATTCCATATACCAAATATAGTTTATCATCTGAGAAACAGACCAAGCCATGCATATATAACATTATTATACTTCATGTCAAAATGCCAGATTTTGATTGGTTAATAGGAGGGAGACAATTTACTCTATCCCATGGCAAATACTCTATTACCCTTCACAGAGACGCTTGCTCAAGTGTGCGATGTAATAAATACGGATGATTGTTATGTATAAGACGACATAGCTTATTACTTTGAATTGGAATTTAATAGACAGTAATAACAGAACATTCAGTATAATAAATTAAATAACACATTACATCTCGGGGTAACAATCTGCTCTATCACCCTCTCAGCTATGTGTTATTTATATATTGACCAATGAACCATACAAAATTACATCAAGGTCAGATGAACCCTGCAAAATTATACACCTTCAATTCATTACATGCACCAAATATAGTTGACCTATTGATTATATATCATGAATGCAATAGAAAGCCCTAGTCAAGAATCATTCTCAGGCTGCCGTTAGCTAGTTTTCTGAATTGAATTGTTTCATATTTTTCATGTCGGGACCTTTTATAGCTGACTATAAGATATGTTTTTTTCTCATTGTTGAAGGCCTTACGGTTGCCTATAATTGCTTACATCCACTTCATTTGAACTTGGGTGGATAGTTGTATCATTGGCAATAGTACCACATCTCCTTATTTTTATATTTACTATTTGAAAATCTCAGTCATCTACTTCTGAATGTAATGTTTTAGCAAAAAAGACAGAATCTGAAAGCAGTTAATTGCTGGGTTACTGTCATTTTTACATGATACTTAGTTTTTACCCTTTACCTTACATTATTCATACAATATGGCATAAAACATTTTACACATGAAGTACTGAAAGTAACCTTCCATGCAAAATATGCTTTATCACGAACTTTATTGCTTTTGGCATCAAAAACATCATTGAATTCAACAATGGAGGCCATAAATGTCATTATCAAATCAGGATGATAACTAATACTTTCTTTGCTCCTGATTACACCCTCCTATTAATTTACCAAACATGGTGTTAAAAAGACATTTCTGATATGAATTTAATTGGTAAAAGCTACACAAATGTTTACCTTAATTAAATATGGGATGTTAGTTTATACCTCGTTTATCGATTTCAATACAACGATTTTTGCTAAACACTGTTTTGAATATGATTTAGTGATTTTAATCATTCCAGAGTCATCAGATAATATCCAAGGAAACTCAAATTGATTTCAAATGAAAAACACATTTTGGTGTTATACAAGAATACAGCCCTCGTCAATAACTCTTGAAAATGTCTAAAAGTTTTAAATTTATTCAATCTGGACTTCTGGCACATTATAAATGAAATAGCTATCAATATCAATGCAGATTGTACCATCAAAATATGATCCATAAACAAATTCAACATTTTGCCAAATTGAGGAGTTTCCCACTCATCTTCAGTTATATTTGTCCCCTTATTTTCTGTTATAACACAGATAATAATTGTTTGACACTTCTGTACTTTGGCCTGTCAAAAAACCAAGCACTGTGTTAATTTTCTATTCTTTTTGTGGATCACAAGCTTAGAGATAATATAGGTGATGAAATAACCCTTTTTCCCTGAATGAAACTGAAAGTTTAATGAAATCTTCTAAATGCCTTAATGACAATGATGGACTAAAGGAAATAAACACTTGCACCATGCACAAATTATAATACAACAAGAATGTGTCCATAGTACACGGATGCCCCACTCACTCGCACTATCATTTTCTATGTTCAGTGGACCGTGAAATTGGGGTCAAAACTCTAATTTGGCATTAAAAAGAAAATCATATCATAGGGAACATGTATACTAAGTTTCAAGTTGATTGGACTTCAACTTCATCAAAAACTACCTTGACCAAAAACTTTAACCTGAAGTGGAACAGACGGAAGAACAGACCAACGAACGGACGCAGAGACCAAAAACATAATGCCCCTCTACTATAGTAGGTGGGGCATAAAAATAAGGAGATAAGTTTGTCATAGACCTGATAATTGCATTATTATTTTTTTCTTCTTTAGGGATTCCAAAAAATAAGTTAAACTAGATGTGACAGAACGACATTTTTAGGAGTGGAAATTTGAGAATGAAAGTCCATATAACTGTTAAAAAGAAAAGGGAAAAGGTTGAATACATAATGGTTGAAATCGTCTGAGTTCAAAGGAAGCAGGTCTTCATAACATCTTAACACTGTACAAAAATTTGTAAGGTTTGGTCAAAGCAAACTTGTGTCTTTGCAAAACAGTGATTCCCTTAATCATACAACAGTAAACTGTAACACAACAACAGCCATTCATGGGTGAGTGATCAAAAGTTTTAGCCAGAATAAATCCACTTTTAATTGATTTCTGATTTCATTTTATTAACCCCCATGGCCACTTACCATAGTATTCTTCTCCTTCATAACGATCCAAAGCCATCTTTGGAAAGTGTTTCATGAGAATTTTAGCAACTTCCAAATGTATAGGTGTTGACACAAGATAAAGAAGATGAAATGGGGTTTCCCCCACACCACCACGATTATCCATGTCCCAACACACTTCATGATTGTATAATTTGTTAAACTCATCTTCCTGATATTCTGCTTGCAGATCAGCATCGGATTTTGTTTCCAAAATAGTTGATCCCTGTAAAATAATACATTTATGATGGTTAAACATGCACTGGTTCATTAAATTAATGTCAAGTTACAGTAAATTGGCTATGTCAAAGATTTTGTTAAAATTTGGCATACAATCTTTGGCTCGTTAAACTTTTAATTGAAAATTGAAAATATAATTCATCTATAGCTATCTCTTTTATTTTCTGAAAATTTTACTGATTGAATCATTTAAAAATGGGTGAACATAGAAAGCACATAAAATCGGCAAAAAACATTCTTAAATTTGTCTTAAAATCATCAAATTTCAAATACATAGATTTTTCTCAAAAAACTATATGTTGTTGATACAACATGTACATAAATTATCATTTTGATTGTGTAAAAAATAATGATTGGGTCACTGACTTCATTTTAAAGGTATATATCATTCAAAGTGGTGTTCTATGTGAAAAAATAAAACAAAACGTTGCTCTGGATACTGTCTTTTGATCATAAAACAAGCATCTGTCCAAGTTTCGTAAAATGCCATCAATAAGAACCCCAGTGCAGTAATATGACTGAGAAATTTAATTGGAAATTTTAAATCATCTTTCTTCTGAGCACACAGCTTAGTTTTTTAATTTTTTTTAAAATGAAATTACAGAAAATACTATTTATTTTCAGCATATATAAAACATGGTGTGCAATATTTTTGAACTTTAAATTTTAGATTTCAATTCAGTGACATGTCTATTCATAGGAGATAATACAAAACAAAAATATGTAATTAAGTTGTTCCTAAACCATGATTTCACAAAAAACTACATGTATGTACAGGCTTCATATATAAAATGACTGAATAATAGCCAACAATAAATCTTACGGGGCAATGGATCATGTAATTATGATACAGTACACTACAAAATATAATATGTAACAAGTCTAAAAGTGTACAACATCACCAAAAAATAATAAAATCATGAACAAATTTCGGATAACTAATATCCTTCATCAGTAAGATGTAAAATGAATCTTATCTTGACATGTGGTAGTCAAACTGAAATAAAAATCTTGATCGCTATACAAATTATCAATAATCAATACGCTGGTAAATTTTTTCAATATTGATGTTTGGGAGGAGGAATAAATTTCTTAAAACTGTAAGAGTTCAGAACGGAAGCCTGAGTTACTGGAAACAAGTGATGGTAGGAAAATGAGTGATGGTAGGGAAAATGAATGACTTATTCTATGTTTTTTCATTTATGCCCTCTGGGGAAACTGTCCTTAGCTTTCTTATCCAAAACCTTTCCCGAGCAAGTCTGTCTGCCCTTGACCTACCCCCTTTGTGGTCTATGATAGTGATGGTAAGGTTTTTGAGATCAGCTTGGGCGTACCCAGGTGATCTCAAATGACAACTTACAGGGAGGTAGGGCTTGCAGGTGTAGTCACTTCGATGACCATTCATGCGTTTGTTGAATGGCTGTTCTGTCTCGCCAACATACTACATGCCACATCAACACTGAAGAAGGTATACAACATTCTGGGTTTTGCAAGTTACATTGCAAAATATAGTGTACACAGACCCAGTGGAGTGGCAAGTAAATGTTTGAGTATTCAGTATTTGTTGGCAAGTCAGACATCGTCTGTTACCACAGGACTTGCACCATCGACAGGCTTCATAAATATATAAAGATAACCTTTCAGCATTTTTTATGGAAAAAACATAATTTATCAATTTTTAAATCATAATCAGATCCACAAATTCAGAGTACAAGCAAGAACCAAACTGATAATAACCACTATATTTATTTGTACTTGGTTCTTGCACTGCCAGATTTCCCACCAAAATTTAACTTTAGCAGTATTTTTTTTTTTTTTTGATGATGATGAAAAATTTAATTAACATGATTAATGTCCCATTTAAACCTTAAAATCTAATCATGCTAATATTCCTAATACTTTTAAGACCTTGCAGTGAACAGATGCTTATCAGTTATATTTATGTTATGTTCAAATAATTTTGTTCTACATCATTTTAGCCAAAATCAGACATAAGTACACTTTCTCCTTTGTTGTGTTCAAGTGAAAATTAATTGAAAACCTTTTTTTTTCATTTTTGTGGGGGTATATATTTACCACATCCCTTTGAAATTGCATCTGTTAAGATTCATTGAAAAGTCAGTGTCTGTTGCTACATGTATGAACACATGGTCAAGGATTTATATAGTGTCTTTAATCAATGTTAATACTATACAAATCCTTGATATGTTAAATCAAAATTGATATGATTTGAATATTGTTTCTATTTACTCTTCAAATCATTACATTAAAAAAGTTATGGTTTCAGTAAATCACATGTAGCGGTTTATTGAATATCTACAAAGTATTGTTTATTATTACAACTGTTTTCTTGGTGTCTGTTGTATTTCCATAATAAACAATTGTCGATCAATTCAACTGACCAATCAAAACCATCATCACAGATTAAATGTAATCATTTTGTTATAACTTAATTAACAGCAGATGAATAGCCAGGTGATAATGACTATGTCTAATTCAATATTCTATAGACATTAAATCATTTCAGATTTATTGTCAGTGTATATTGCATGTCGAGTTTGCATTCTGAAATTGATTTTCTCACTATAAGAAGACTCTATTAGGTGTTACTTCCACAGTGGGTACTCACTTTCCATAGGAGACATAATTGCCTTTCACAGGGATGTGAATAGTTTTATTAACTACACAGCTATCCTCAAGACAACTAATATTGGAAATGAAAACATCAATACTTGACAAACTAGTTAAAACTACCATGTACAATTAGAGACTACAACTCAATATGATCATTTTAATGACGTATTTCAAATGTTAAAAATGTTAAAAGAAGAGTTTGTCAAGAATTCATAAATATATACCAATGAAATAAATTTTCAACTTATGGTTTCTAATACAATACACCAGTGTATTAAGACTGGATATCAAAAAGTACAAAGTTTCAGAAAACATATATCTTTAAACATGTTAAATAATGCGTCTTTTTGTTTTAAAATATGAAAAAAGTGAAAACTAAATATTATTGATGTGAAATATACATGTATCTTGTCAATAAAACTTCTGCAACTTGAAAATAAAAAAAGAATGTGTCCATAGTACACGGATGCCCCACTCGCACTATCATTTTCTATGTTCAGTGGACTGTGAAATTGGGGTCAAAACTCTAATTTTGCATTAAAAATAGAAAGATCATATCGTACGGAACATGTGTACTAAGTTTCAAGTTGATTGGACTTCAACTTCATCAAAAACTACCTTGACCAAAAACTTTAACCTGAAGCTGGACAGACGGACAGACAAACGGCAGCACAGGCCAAAAAACATAATGCCTCTCTACTATCGTAGGTGGGGCATAAAAACATTTTCAATTTCAAGATCTGTTTATTTCATCATCCTTATTAAACCTTTTTGTTTGTAGTAAAATGTTTAATCATAGTTTAGTATAAAGATTTTTTGTTTTGCTTTGTTTTTGAAAAGAGCTTACGTGATGCATGATCTTCAGTTCTACAGTGTATGCAGAGCTCTGTATCACAAAACAGACAAAAATTTAATACATCCTTTTGGTAGACCTGGAATCTGATTTTTTTATTGCAAATAGCTGCAAATGATCAGCCTAGATTCTATATCTTAAGTTAGCAAATTTGATGCAGAAATGGACTTTATTTGTAAAACTTTTCATCTAAATGAAAAGAAAATTATATATATATATATGGTTTAATTTTAATGTAACATTTTTTTTGCATGAAAAAAATTTCATCCATTCAAATTTTGAAACTTGTGATTTCAGGTGAGATACATGTAACTCAGAAATATTTTTTTACAGTAAATTTACATGTATTTTGTTATGAAACATGAAAAAGAGTTTGGTGACCCTAATTTTTATTTTTATTTTCAGTAAGCACATATCATGGGCTATCTTCTGGAGCCATATTTAAAAAAAAAAATCGTTTAATTTTCTTTCTATATACATGATATATACACAAGAGACAAGTGTCCATATATTCCTTACAAAAATCTGACAATTTTGCAAAACATGTACATGTAGCCTGGAAAAAAGCTTGGTGACTTCATTTTGGCAAAGTATGAACAAACCATTTTATTAAGACCACCCACTACCACGACTACCATCCATCTACAGTACATTGTAAGGCATCATAATCCACAGAGCAGATCTCTCAAAACTTGCAAATTGGCAAAAACTTTATTCCTCCCTTCAAAACTGTAAGAAAACTATTTGACATGGATTCAGATTACCTTAAATTAAAGGTTTCAAGAATTTAAAACTTTCAGTTTAAACAGAATTGTTTTTTTTTTTTTAACTTTATCTAGTATAAATAAGGATAACTTTCAAGAGGACACCATTCACGTGCTTATCAACTTGTCATAATGGTCTGCATATATATAAAACTTTCCCACCTCATTTGTAACACATCTCATCTTTTGCGATTTGAAACATTGTGCCAATTTGTCATGTTTGTGACGTACTGTAATCCAATATGGAGTCCCAGCAACCAACAAATCTACCCCAACAGTGCCCAATATAGGTACAGTGTAAATAGGCAGAAATCAATGTGTAATGAACTGAGCTTTACTACTCAACACAAGTATTGATCAGCACCTAGGGATGCATTTAATTATATGATCATCCTTTAGTGAAGTAAAATGTACATGTCATTTGTATACAGATACGATTTTCAATAGAAGCACTAGTACTGCACTAGTACTGCACATGTAAAAATCCAAATTTTTAAGTAGATGTGATTAAATTAACTGTTTGGTTATATATATCACATGTGAGTCAATTTTGTATGTACATGTAGATGGCACTAATTGGCGATTTAAAAAACTAAAGGATGTGGGTAATTTTATTACTCCTACATGATGTCAGAATATATTATCATGCCAATGGTTAGAAATCATTGTTTAGGACTTTGTTCATGTTGTTAAACAATCACAATCTTCTGTATTTTTGGTGTACACTTTTGAATATATTGTAAATATTCTATATGTGTAATAGATTGATGGATTGTTGGTGTTTAACACCACTGTCAACACTAGGCTATATCGTGTCAGCTAGCTTTTATTAGTGGAGGAAGCTGGAGTGCCTGGTGAGAATCACTGACCTAAAGGAGGAAGCTGGAGTGCCTGGTGAGAATCACTGACCTAAAGGAGGAAGCTGGAGTGCCTGGTGAGAATCACTGACCTAAAGGAGGAAGCTGGAGGAAGCTGGAGTGCCTGGTGAGAATCACTGACCTAAAGGAGGAAGCTGGAGTGCCTGGAGAGAATCACTGACCTAAAGGAGGAAAAATGTCAATCCTAGTGAATGAAGACTGGAGTAGAACACAACTGCCATGCGAGGGTTTCAAACCTCAGTGTTACCAGGCTAGTGATACATTAGAACACACCTGCCATGTGAGGGTTTCAAACCTCAGTGTTACCAGGCTAGTGATACATTAGAACACACCTGCCATGTGAGAGTTTCAAACCTCAGTGTTACCAGGCTAGTGATACAGTAGAACACACCTGCCATGTGAGGGTTTCAAACCTCAGTGTTACCAGGCTAGTGATACATTAGAAAACACCTCCCATGCGAGGGTTTCAAACCTCAGTGTTACCAGGCTAGTGTTACAGCAGAACACACCTGCCATGTGAGAGTTTCAAACCTCAGTGTAACCAGGCTAGTGATACAGTAGAACACACCTGCCATGTGAGGGTTTCAAACCTCAGTGTTACCAGGCTAGTGATACAGTAGAACACACCTGCCATGTGAGAGTTTCAAACCTCAGTGTAACCAGGCTAGTGATACAGTAGAACACACCTGCCATGTGAGAGTTTCAAACCTCAGTGTTACCAGGCTAGTGATACAGTAGAACACACCTGCCATGTGAGGGTTTCAAACCTCAGTGTTACCAGGCTAGTGATACATTAGAACACACCTGCCATGTGAGAGTTTCAAACCTCATTGTTATCAGGCTAGTGATACAGTTGATAAACTATTTAGACCATGTTTCCCACGACCAATGGAAATATTTCATGTCTCTTTTTCTATTAACACAAATCATATATAAAAACTTGGCAGCTCTGGGGAAAACTTTGTCATTGATGTTAAAGTCAGTGGTTTTTACACAGAAAAATTTGGACGTTTCAAGAAAGGTGTGTCTGGTCATTTTCTGAATGTGTTGCAAGAAAATGAAAATGTACATGTACATTAACTAGGCTTTTATATTGTGCCAGACACACTTTTCATCTACATAAGACTCAGTAATTACATAATATGTGTTTAAGTCTTGGCCTTCTCATGCAAAAATTATATCCTATATCCTTTTTTTTGTGTAATAGTAAATTGAGTTTTTGTTGCATGAAATCTTTTTAAATAAGAAGACCATATCAAATATGTTAGTAATGCACTAACTATTCTGAAACGGAGAGTTCTATATCTTTTTATGTCTGTCTCTCTCTCATTACAAATGTTCATTATTACCGTCTTAAACATATAGGAAACAAAGTTATAATAGGCATGATAGAGGAATGAAAGAAGGAAGGACAAGTGAAAACAAAATAATATATCCTTACTTCCTAAAAAATATAAATATATATATATAATATGGTTAAATCTTATTCTGTTTTTTTTATCAGGGTACACCAAAACACCAAAAAGTTATTAAAAAATATTTATATGTCTTTACTCTTGTCAGTATGCATACATTGTATGGTATTCATATCACATTTGAAAAATCCATGTTTATACATGTACATGTATGTGTACGTAAAAAAATTAATATCCCCAAAGGTAACCTCGGAATAAAGATTTTTAACTGATAGATATTGATAGCTTGTTTGACAATAATTTTCCAATTAATTTCTTTTTTATCAGGTCAATCTTAGAATTCTGAAAGAAATTTACTTTATCACCTAAATAACGAAAAGGCTTGAATATTCTGTAAGGACCTTTGTGCAAGGGCATAAAAATAAGGTCTATGTTTAACAGTTCTTGATGCTTATTACAGGCAACAGCCAACTTAACCTTGAGATTAAAACACTAAGTTTTGTTGGTTGCCAAATATAATGCCAAAAATCCTATTTTCAGCTTTTATCTACAAAGTGTCTGAATTAGAACCTACTTGTCTTTTTGCTATACATCTCCTTTGCCATTTGATGTGGTCCAATGTTGTTAACATTTTCCCCTGTCCATTGTTATATAAATAGTCCACAATCTCAGTTTTGATTATTTTTTCAACTGCAAAAACACCACCATTTTTGTATGCATCGATTAGCCTGCCACCACCACTAAAATTAACAAATTTGTAAATGGGATTTCTCGCCATTTCTTTGTTTTGTTGCCGCCATGCTGAATCCGGATCCTCATTATTCTTACGAAAACAGAGATTTCCCATTTTCATTTGGAGAAAATTTTTTCTTCTCAGTTTTTACGGAATAAATGTACATGAAAGATAAAGATGCGATAAAATATGACAGAAAGTAAATCCTTCTATACTATTTAATGTTTTTAAAGTTATGATATCCATTATTGCTCAGCATTGAAATCACATGTTCTTGTCTGGTCACTCCATATTTAATTTTATAATCTGAAAAAAATAAAATCAGAAAATGAATCAATAACAATCTTGAGAAATTTGAGCCCACTTGACATTATTGCTTGAGCTACTGTTTGAAAACATATTGAGCTACTGTCAAACAAATCCTGCTATGTATATATGCAGTTAAACTCAGTTAACAAAAAGCATGTTAATTAATTGTTCAACTTTTTGCCTTGTACTCAACATTTCAAAAAGGCTTTTAACCTTCAGGTTAACTTGCCAGCAGTGGAGAGGATATGTATTAAATTTAACCTTTTGGATTTTCCTGCTATCAGCATGATCAATATTACTGTTGATTAATTATTTTCGTGGGTACTAATTTTTGAGAATTGAGAAAAACTTGTACTTTAGTGGATATTTGATATAGTGGTTTTGCCAACGTCTGTAAATATTCCTACAGAAAATTTGTAATTCTTGAACATCAAAATTTGTGGATAACCTGTACCCTCGAAATCCACCAAAATGTATATCCAATTAACAATAATGAATCCACAGTCCTAGCTCAGCTGTAATTGAATTATTCTCCATTTTTTAACCAAATATCTACCTTTTACAATATTTTGTAAAAATACCTGATGAAGTTGAATAAAGAAACTTAATTCACGTTCACTAAATTTTTGTGAGCTTATATCAAAACAATACACATTTCTATTATCCTTAGCACCAACACTTCAAAATTAAATTAGTATACAACAAATGTCTATCACAAAGACAACAACATAGGTATATCAAGCACAATGCTTGTAAATTCAATTATATTTCAAGTGTTATTTCCTTTTAATTCAAGGAGTTGCAAGCATACTTGATTGATGGCAAAGTATTAATGGCTTTATAAGTCGAAGGCCAAAGAAAAACAATGTTATCAGAAGGTCTTCTAGTATAAAGCACTTTTTTATTTTGATACTTTAAAATTTGTTTACATTTAATTTATTACCTTTCTAATTCTTTAACAATGTTGATTTCACTATGTACAAACATTATATATATGTAATCTCTTGGTCTGTATGCGATATGTCATTAAATTCACCTTAACTGTTTAATCCTTGACGGTAAATCCACAATGAAATTGTTTGAAGTATACAAGGATCATATAAGAAAACTCAAACACAAAAGCCCACATGCCTGAAACTCTATACCAAGTTCGAAAATAGGAAATAAATGGAGATGATAACAATTTCAGAACAGAAATTGATTCAGATTTATTAATATATTCCAAACAGGAATCTACACATTAAATTATTCAATATGATCGTCATGTACATCGTCCATTTCTCTGCATTAAGAAAATGTTTGATCTTCACATCAAATTTTAAAATCATGCACATAGTACACTGTCAAATATATGTTTCACACCTAAACATTGTACATAAGAACATCGTATCACACTCTTCACAATAAACTTTTGCAGCCAACTCATTTATTGAACAATTTTGTATGGATTCTATTGGACTGTAGCAGTAATACAGGGCGAAGCATAAGTAGAAATCTATCAGTGCAGTCAAAATTAAGTCTGCCACTCCTACAAATTTTGTTCATTTTATATAATTGAGAAGAGATCTAGAAGAAGAACTACAATGTAGGACATCCCTACTTTCCTGATTTATAGGGGATTTCCAACAAGTAGTTTTGAGTCTTCTGAATTGACATTTGGATGTCCTATTATATAAACTAGATACAAAAAAAAAAACAAACACACAAAGGTGTTAAAATACATTTAAGCTCATATATATATTATATATACTAATTTAAAACCATATATTATTAGAGTAAATACATTTATGACATGTATGTCTATAAGAGATCTATGCATTAGGACTCTTAGGGTTAAAAATCCCCCCATGGAGATTTTGAAAAGTTGGCATGTATGCATGTCTGACAAGTATCATGACTTTATGAGCTATCAGACTGTTACAATATTGAACAGATTGATAAAAGTACTGGTTATAAATTGATGTTTATAAAAAAATTTGACACCATTTCAAAAAGGTTCAAGTGCACATTTTTAAATGCTTTTCAAATATCCATTTTATCACAAATAAGAATTTGATGTGTCGGTTTTTCGTCTTACCTGGTATTTCCCAATTAATAATTTACAGATAGCAATTTTTTTAAAATACAATACATGTAAATAAAGTATACTGGAATCAGGTTTCAATGCACAGGTCAAGGACCACTCAATGCCACTTACATGTGCCAGTTACTGTCACCAGACATTTTATGCAATAATGGATATGTTGCGTAAATATTATTTACATGTAGGCATACTTCTATTATCGGTAGACAGATACAATGCATTTACTTTCATTTTTAAAAACTTTGTTATGTTTAATCCATAAGAGCAAGGAATTGCTGAGTTTTCTGTATTAACATTCACAATATAAATATTAAGTGGAAATATCTATTACTTAGTGATTTGATTTTAAATGGACAGATCAAATGGAATCATTCCTGAATGCATAAAATTTCATACAAAATTCACCACTCCAGTCCAGTAAGCGAAACTGTTACCTGCTTTTGTTGTTTATCATTAGAGAATTTAAAGTCCTAGTCTATGGTGCTACATGTAAACCTAACTTTTGGTAACTCTTTATATATTTTACAAGATATCTCCAGAGTTCCTGTTAAATAATATTTGAAAAGAAACTGTGAATATCTGGCTATATAACTGGTACTGGACCAGGAATGGATTATTACAAAAATTATTACCTTATTACAAAAGTACTACATGTAATGCAATTCAAATATATATATGTAGGAACTGAAAATTATTTCAATTTTATGAAATTTGTATTTTGAAGAATAAATTTTGAAAAGAAGACACAAGTTAGACTGACTGTCAATCAGGTTGTAAGTAAGAAATAAAAACTAGTAATGCTGATGATACTAAACAGGCCAGACACAGTACTACATGTAGTAATGCACATGATGTTTGCACTTTTTCATGTTTTTCTGGTATTTTAAATGAAAAGCACCACTGAATATCACTTTAATCACTTTAGTGCTATAACCTGTCTTAATTACAATTTAATTCCATTTGTCAGAAAAATTTAAAACAATTGCTGATGACGATGCTGTCACTATATCTTTTGATTTTATACTCTCATACATGTATTTCAAAATTTTGTGCAAAGTTATTTTAAGTCTAAAGAAGTAGTTTAATATTGGTGAATTTTAACTGTCTGTTCTGGAGGGAACCAGTCCAGTCCTACATTTTAAGTTGAAGAAGGTGAAAGTGAAAGATCTGACAATGACTAAGAGAGTAAAAATTACAATGAAATACCCAAGGACAATATTATAATTATAAAGAGCTCGAGTAAAACCATGATTGAATAAATGTGAGGGAAAAATTTAGACTTGTATCATTTGGTCAATTTAGGTTAAAAATCTATCAATGCAAACAATTTCTATGACTTCATAAGTGACATTTCTGCACTAAAGTGTTCAGATAATGATTATATCATGTTATTCATTTATCAATAATTACAATTAAAATTAAGACAATTTTGAAAGGCTAGAGTAATTTTGATATTTTTTTAATTTCAGGGACCAAATAATGGCTCTTAAAATCACATCTCCTCAGAGCAAATCTTATGTTGGAAAAATGTTTAATATTTGGACACAATTTAAATTACATATATACTGTTACATATAATCATATCTAAAAAATAAAGAATATTTCCATCCATGACCACTATCATAATGCTTTAATGTACATGTACAGGCAGATCAAAAACGTGATCTTTTGATAAAGGTTAATTTAGTAAAATTTCTTACATCTGCTTAGTAACATTACAAGTCAATTAAACACCTCTTAGACTATTTCACAAAAAGAGAAACAACTACATGCAAACAAGGAAACAGTTAAATTTATGTTTATTTCTATTGGTGATGTTAGATTGGGTTTGGGTAATCCCTTTTAGGATTTTGTTTAAGAAGTGTTTTTCTGATTTTACCATCCACAGAATCCCTTAGACAGTCTTAGTTTCGGAATCCATTAAATATTTTTTTAATACATTTGTAACTTAATTACATTTTGTACCTTAAATGTAACTTGTAGTTATAAATGCATTTTGTCAAATAATTTTCCTTGAAACCATCCACATTGTTCTCATTTTAGGTTTTGTCACATGATCAGTAAAAGGACAGATTATTTTCTGTCATTTTTCAACAGACAGATTTTCAGATGCCTTTACAAACACTCTTCAGAAAGTATTATTCCTTTTGAAAGGCTTTTTATAAGCAAATTACAGAAACGTCATAGGAAATAATTCAGCAAGTCTTGAATCGACAGTATTTTCTAAAGTTACAAAATGGATCTATAACTATCTTTAAAGGTTAGGTATTCTCAAAATTTTAATTTACTATGAAAGGACAATATATATATATATGTCATATTTTCAGATCTTATCTGATTCAGGTGTACAGAATAATGCTGTCTGTGTAAAATACAACTATTTGAGTAGTTATATGTTTAAACAACCCATATTAAATAATGCATATAGAATATACTAGTAATACATGTACATGTACATGTATGTTAGAAGGAAATTGCACCCAGGAACTGTTTGCATTGATTCAGATTAAGTGGAAATATAAAAACTTTATTTGAAAAGACAACTCGGAAATGGAGCCTGTAGTACAGTGATGGTCCTTAGTTCATGTCTTACAAACATGTATTTTTATGCACCTGTCCTTATTCAGGAGCCTGTTGTTCAGTGGTTTTCGTTTGTTGGTGTGGTTCATAAGTGTTTCACATTTCTCTATTTTTATATAGATTAGACTGTTGGTTTTCCTGTATGAATGGTTTTACACTAGTCATTTTTGTGGCCCTTTATAGCTTGCTGTTCAGTGTGAGACAAGGCTCTGTGTTGAAGGCCGTACTTTGACCTATAATTGTTAACTTTTTATACATTGTGACTTGGATGGAGAGTTGTCTCACTGGCACTCATACCACATCTTCTTAGTTATATGTATTTGTTTTTCGTAAATTGTTTATGAATTTTCATAAATTAGGCTGTAAGTTTTCTCGTTTGAATTTTCACATTTTTCATGTCGGAGCCTTTTACAGCTGACTATATAGTATGGGTATTTCTCATTGTTAAAGCCATATTGTGGCCTATAATTGCGTAGGTAACCACTTCATTTTAACTCTGGTGGATAGTTGTCTCATTGGTAATCATATTACATCTCCTCATTTTTATAAGTAAATAAGAATCTATGAGCTATTATCAGATTGTTTAATGGACATGGGGCATTTAGTTGTGTAATATTCATGTTCGATAATGATAGTAGGAATATTTCAAATGGAATATTTAAAGGAAAGAGCATAATTTACAACAGATCAGTGAAGATGACCAACTGATAATTATTATCAAGGGAATATTCAGAGGCGACATTTTAAATGATTTGTTTCAAACTATTACTTTATTTTTCTTAAGGGTAAGGTATACATGGTATATATATTTAAATATATGTCAGTAATAAGATAACAGTTATTGAAGATTTTCCACCATTTCTATGATTCATATTGAAAAATTTAACTTTTCTTAAATAGAGGTCTACATAGATTTTACTTTTCATCACTTACAAGTACTAAAGTATAATCATGTGTAACCCAGTGATCTGGAAGGATTTTTTCTCTATGGGCCCAGGGCCCCCAAAAATAAATTCAATGGGCCATTTTTAGAATTAATGGGCCATGTTGTCAAATGAGTGGGCCATTCGTTAACAATAAAAAAATAATAAAAAAGTGTATATTTCACTGTACTTACAAGTATGATTCTAATTAATATCATGGAAATTGTTCCTGTGATTTTGTTATTTCAATTTCAATGAATATACAATAACTTCTTCCAAACCGGGCAATATTTACGATAACCTTTATTTACAATGTTAAAACTGGTACTGTTCCCTTGTTCATGTTCATGTTTTTTTTACATTAAATTTGGGTCTTCGTCGATACCATACTTATTCCAGACGTTCCGTATTAGAGGACGTTACTGGCATTTCCCCTGCACTTGTATTATTATTACTTCATCACGATGACAAGAATAACAGTAGAGAGCAACGTTAATTGATAAGACACGACAACAATTCGCTGAAGGCATGTTTAATGTCAAAACGAGCCAAAGACCAAAAAAATTGACAAGGACAGTTAAGCCCTTTTTATGGAGACAAATACTATGCTATTCATAAAAAGGCTTTTGGATTTTTCAATCGAAATAATAGCAAGCTTACTTAAAAGATTATAATTAGAGAAGAATTCTCGACTGTACTAGCCAATTTTCACAAATTTAAAGTTGTTTATAAAAAATGATATCATGAATGATGGTTAATTACGTTTTTTGGGTAATCAGTCATACCGCATGTTGCTATTATTACCATAGGAAAACACCCGAGACGTCCCAAAAATATATAGGTGCTCCTATGATTGGAGTTGTGTACTCACACATGGCGGCACGAAATACGATCGGAAATCCATTTGACGATATCTCAACGTTTCAAAACGAAGTGAAAAATATCATGCGCCACGCGGGCGCTTACATTTGTCACTCTATGCGCCATTTCTGGTCGATAAGTGCAATTGGCGCAAGGCGCACGTCCTTCCCGATCACTGGTAACCCATTATGCATATATCATGAATGTTATTTTTTATAATAGCAGTCTGTGCCAAACTGTTTTAGAGTTTGTCTGACAGAAAAAGAAATTTGACCTTTTCTACTATATTTTCAACTAAAAAATCAAAAAATTTCTGTCTGACCGAATGAATTTTTGTCTGACATTTTGTCGGTCAGACAGAATTCAAGATACATTGTATTCTAATGCAATTATTTTGTATCAGTGGTTCTGATTGGATGACAATGAGCGTAAAATTCTCTATCTCCCTGTCTGTAACCAAGGGTAAGGATGCCGACATTTTGAATTCCGGAATGTATATGTATTGACATGTAATTTCTCCAACAATAAGCAAAAAACTCAAATTTTGCACCTAGAAATCTTCTGTTTATAAAATTTTATTACATTTCTGAATCGGACAAGCTAGAAAACGCCCAGTGTTTACATTTGATGCCGGAAGCATACCTATGACGTCACCTAGTTTAGGTGCCAAAGAAGATACATGTAACATCATTTCGCGGAATTTTAGTTTAATGAAAATTTACACTAAAATAATGACTAAATTTGAATGATTTGTTTATTTTGCATTAAAATAGAGATAACTGTATTGTATTTGAAGCTTTGCGGACGTCCATCGGTAGTTTTACAGTCGCAAATAACCGTTTACCTGTCTCCGCTACCCTTCGCCAGTTAAACTAAGTTTGCGACAGTAAAACTACCGATGGACGTCCACAAAGCTTCAAATACAATATAGTTATCTCTAAAATAGGAGTGACAGTGATAATGGACTCAAAATATGGTAAAGATTGACTTGGGACCAGAACGACATGAAACCTAATCAAATAAGAAAACAACTCAGGAGACAGAATCCTAAAAGAGATTAGCTAAAGACAACTTTTGAATTCATGCACTTTCCCGTAAATTTCCTACATCACAATGCTTATGTTGTTCATCACAATAAGAACTGATTGTTCGATGACGTCGTTATTTACGCAGATTGACTCCGGGTCAACTGTTGTTACTGTAACTAATTCATAAAAGCACTTGAGATCGACCTATTGACACTTGTATGCAAAATTGTCCACCATTACTTAAAATCACACAAGTTCCCGTAAAATCTGACATCACAGTTTAAAAAAATTGACGTCATAATTAAAAGTGATTGTTGATTGACGTCAGAAGGTTAATTGGAGACAGATCTAAGGTCATTCGGAGACAAAGTTCTGCTCAATACCAAAAGTGTACATACTTCATACATGTGTCAAAAACTAATAAAAACTCGTCAGATAAAATCTTGATTACTTGGGCCAGAAATTTAGAGCATGGAAAAAGATCCATATAAAATCAGAATTCAGAGCTACTTGGCTTCATTTTATACCAGGAAACCTACTCTTAACTCCGAAGCCCTGTCAGGATTACAAAATGTACTATGAATAGGGGATAAAACTGATTATAGATATCCTAATAGTAATACTCATCCGCTGGTCAATTAAAATAGATGCATTGGTCATTTACCATATTTGAAAATCATGAAATGTTTATTCCTATGGTCTGTCATTTTTTTTTTATTTTACTCGTTTTGAAAAAACGAGGGATTTATGTGTTTCCATGACATTTTATAAACAGTTTTTTTGCCCGACTGTCGAATAACTACATTGGAAGTACATTCTTTGACTTTAGAATGACAGATTTATTATGATATGTAAAACATGGCTTACCTATGACAATAGAAGAAGTGATTTAATGCACACTTAAAACTCAACAAAAGTGTTTTTCACTTGTCAATAAATTATTTTGCTCCATTTTATGTCAACACCACGTGATCATTTACGTAACAGGAAATAAACGTAATATCATGAATAGCTACTTTAAGTATGCTAAACCCGTTCCCAATCTCATAGTGATTGATTATCCAAACTTTTTTTTACAAAAGTCTAATTTTCATGAATAAAAGAGAAATTTTGCTTTGGTATGGAATGGCGTATAAGTATGGTCGATTTGATATCTATGAAAGTGTGTTTCTCTAAATTATACACAGCCCGTACTTGGGTAAAATTACAATCGTTTTCATATTTCCGGTCCAGCATGGAAGAAAACAAACGATTTGTCTGTCATTCTTGTAAATTTTCAAGCGCTTATCATTATTATGGAACGAAACCAAATTTTGCAAAGAATATCATGTGAGAATTCTTTATCCTTAGGTCACAACTTTTCTCATATAATTTTGTATATAGACAATAGACAATATTTATTAGCACAAACACAAACACATTTACATTAAATGGTTATGGCATACAGTATTGAGACAATAAACTGACAATAGTTAAATTGACTATAATTATATTAGAGTGACAGTGATATTTATATATACCGTACCATATATTTAGAATGAATTTTTCTGTTTCCTGTGTCCATGAGGGTGGTGAAGGGTTGTTTCTGTGCAACATGTTTTGCCATTTTTATTTCACGTACAGCCATGAAAAAGGTTCGTTATTCACAGTGTTTGGTGAAATTGGCAAAAAGATCAATGTGCAAGAAAATTTAATTATTCGTTTCATCGTGAAATGGCAATTTTATTTCGCGTTCTTCCGTGCAGATACACCCCCTTTACGCCCCTCGTCCATATTTCACCATTCCAATATTTTGTTTTCTTCATTTCGACCTTTTTTTTTTTTTTTTATTTATTTTTTTTTTTTTTTAACAAAAACAAAAAACAAACAAAAAGCAAATGATAGAAAGGAAATATAAAATGTCAAAAATAAACACAAAGAGACAGATTATTCTGTCTACCATATATTCTGCTTAACAATGATGGGAAGATTACTACTCATACATGTACCTTTGCTAATTCGTACCGTATTTTTACTAAGTCTTACTTTTACCAACTCGTACCCTTTTGAGCTCACCTGGCCCAAAGTGCCAATTGTGCTTCTTTCAACACTGTGAGTCTGTCATCGTCCGTTAACTTGTGCAAATATTTAACTAAACCTGGGAACAGTATGTTCCTGACTAAACTAGGCCACAATCATCATTGGGGTATCCTGTTAAAATATGTAACCCTTGACTACTCCTGCCAACCAAGATGGTTGACATGGCTAGAAATAGAACATAGGGGTAAAATGCAAGTTTTGTCTTTTATTTAGAAAACTTCTATAAATAGAGAAAATCTGAAGATTAAAGAAATGTTCATAATGTTGAAATCTACCTAATGTGCATCTACATCAAAACTGTCAGATGACTGTTTATAGGAGTTATTGCCCTTAATTGGCCTTAAGTGACAAATTTTACCATTTTTGTGTAAAGATTTCAAAACTCCATGGTACTGACCTGATATCTAAATCTCCCAAGGTTTATCACTACCTTTCATAGTTCAAACAAAATAGTGCAGCAAAGCGATCATTCTTTAGATCCTATCCAGTCAATGTCAAGCAATTTATAAATGATATGTTATACTTAGATATTCAAGTTACAATATGATGTGTATTTGAATTACCATACTCATCAAGAATAATTTTCTATATTAAAATTGACATAAGTAATACATGGTGTATGAATTTGTGATTAAAATAGGATCAACTTCAAATGTACAATCATGAACAAAGGAAGATAACTCCAACTCAAACTTATAATTTGCCTAGCTTTACAATAGTGCAGTAGACTATTTTCATATTACCGACTTTTGACTCCGGATTATATAATTTGTCGACTGGTTACCTTGGACATTATGGTACCAAGTCAGGTAAGAGCAAGCTAAAGAAGTAAAACCAAGCTTTCAATCGGTACAATTTTGGGGGAAAATTACCTGGTTAATATTTTTTTCACTACAAAATCAACGGAAAATAATAAACTTTCCCCTCAAATTACACCGATTATATGTTTGATTTTACTTATTTTGGGTGCTCTTACTTGACCGAGTATCATGATGTCCAAGGTAACCAGTCGACAAATTATATAATCTGGAGTCAAAAGTCGGTAATATGAAAAAAGTCTATTGAATGTTTTATTCTAAATTCACAAAATTGCAAAATGAAAGCAAGTTTTACCCTCCACTGCTCACAAGCGCTTTGATTTTTTTTGCCCATTATCTTGCAATCTTTAACAGATGGAGAGAAACTTTGAAAAACAAAAATGATCAGCAAGACAAGATCTACAAATAATGCAACTTGGCCAAAATTGTCAGATGACTTCTTATTAGAGTAATTGCCCTTTAATGATGATTTTTACCATTTTTAGCCTTTTTGCCTAACATCTTACAACAAATCTTTGCCTCTAAAACTGCTGGGCCAAATTTAACCAAACTTGACCACAACTTAATTTGGGTATCTTGTTTTAAAAATGTGTATAATGACCCAGCCTTTAAACAGACATGGCTGACATGGCTAAAAATAGATCATAGGGGTAAAATGTAAGGTTTGTCTATTATCTTGAATCACTATGAATAGAGAAATTATGACTGAAGACTGAAGACAAAACTGTCAGAGATTTTCTTATAGGAGTTATTACCCTTAAATGTCAAATTTACCTTCTTTTTTTCACTTTTGTCTATTATTTCAAAAACTATAAATTATACATATGTCATGTATGTAGGTAGAGAGAAACTTTAGACAAGATCTACAAGAAAGTCAAATGGTTGAAATCGTCAGCAGATTCATTATTGGGATTATTGCTCTGTAATGATGATTTTTTCCAATTGTTTTGCATTTGTTGTCTATAATCTTGAAAATTATAATAGATATATAGAAACTTTAAATAGCAAAAAATGAGAAGTAAGACAAGATCTACAAAAAAGCTGTCATGGCTGAAATTTAAAGTCAACTAGTTATTAAATGGAGTTATTGCCGTTTAAAGATGATTTTTACCATTTTTTTAGTTTTTGCCTATCATCTTGAAAACTATAATAGATGCAAATGTAGATAGAAACTTTAATAATCAAAAATGATCAGTAGGACAAGATCTACAAAAATGTCAACATGACTAAAATTGTCAGTTAAGTCTTTATAGAGTTATTGCCCTTTGATGATAATTTTTACCAGAAAATGCCCATTGTTGAAGATGCAGGTGAGAGACACAGGCTCTTAAGAGCCTTTAGTTCTCTTTTCATACAATAATTTGATAAATAGATTGGCAAAATTCTCATATTTTGTTAGGATTATACATTGAAAAGGCATTGTTATATAAATAGCTCTGATAAAATGTTTCAGAAAATAAACATATAAAATGTGGCCACTGCACTTTTTTTCTTACTAAAAACAAAATTCATAGATTTACCTTACATTCTTTTATAAGACTAAATTATATGAGTTATCTCTTCTTATAAAGCAAAAGTTTTCTATATATCAATTCAAAAAAATTCTGTATTTGTAAAAAATGTAAATTTTATCTCCACAAATTATATGAAATCATTTAAATGAAATTTAAGCAGCAAGTTTTTCAATTTCAGTACATATCTTGATCAATCATTAGTTGTCATTAGCAATGCCAGTTTGGCCAGTTGTGGGTGTTTAAAACCTACACAACAACTTAAAGCTCTAAGTTGGATGGTGCCATCCATAGTTGGCAAACTACTATACTATATATATATATCGAAAAAGTTAAAATTAAAAGAAGCTCTGGTTGAATTTGCAAATAGCAATAGTTGATACAAAATTTATTATGATTCAAATTTTTTCTAGGAGTTATGCCCCTTTTAACCTGGAATTTTGGCCTAAATATACTACTGCATCAGTTTGTCTTATCGCAACTACACTGAAACCACACATCAGAATTTCATGAAACTTTGTAGATAATAAGGACATACTATGTAGATGTGCATATTGACAGGAAATTATGATTCAACTTTTTTTTATAGGATTTATGCCCCTTTTGAACTTAGAATTTTGGCCTAAATATATTACATGTTTGTACTGCAACAGTTTGTCATTGCAACTCCTCTGAAATCACACAAAAAAATTCCATAAAATTTTGCAGATAATAAGGACATACTAAATGTATGTATGTAGATATGCATATATATCCACAAGAAATTTTTATCAGTTGACCTTTTAGGAGTTATGAGTCTTTGAACTTAGGAATCTGGTGAGATTTTCTATGTCCAGTGACAATGTGGGGTGTGGGGTATGTGAGAGTGCTCACAAAGGTTCTTTTAATTATTTAATGTTTTTTTATTATACCAATTTCCCTTAAGATAACAATATTACTGCATAACTAGAGACTGCCACTGATGAGGGGCCTGATGGGGGGGTCTCATCACGATTCACGAGTTGATTTTTTTGTCAATCACAATTCACAGAAAATAAATTTCCATGATCACGGATCACGAAAATATAAAAAAAAAAAATCTGTAGAAAAACGGATCACAATAACGAAAATGCGCCGATCACGAAGAACGAAAATAACCCATCAGGCCCCTCACTGATGAGTTTCCTGACTGAAATCTGGACACTCTAGTATAATATAATTGTTAGTAGGCCTTTACAGCTCAGGCGATATAAAAACTGACAGGGAATATGAGCAAACATCCCCTGTGAAGTTCCCAAATTAACATAATACCTTTAAAATATTATCCATGTACCTATTTTTATATATTTAATTGTCACACAAGAATTTTTAAAGCAAGTAAAGATTAATCCTGTTTCAAATTTTAATCCAATTATAATCAACTTATCAGTTTATTTATGATTAATTAAGTTTTAAGGTACTCAGTTATTTGAATTTTCCATTACACACATCCTGGATCAAATAGTCTCTAAATTTCAGTTGCCAGTCATTTAATTTTTGTTTAGATTGAATTGTTGTTTTGAGGTTGGGAGGGGATTCAGTTATAGTGACTTGGGTTCTCACTAGGAAGTTTAGTGTCAGAAACAGAAACTCACTGATCTGATCTTTCTTATTTGGCCAATTAGACTTCCTAAAATAGAATAATCTTTTTTGATACCAGATTAACACTGGAATAGTTTGGTTACCAGTAATAGTACAAAATGTACATGTATATATATAACAAACAAATCTGTGTACCTACCCAATCCAAACGTATACTGTATGGGTTTGTTTAAATTGTTGGCCACTGTACAGTGACATGCATTGATTTACATCTTTGTAATATTGTTGTCAGTGGGATAATTGTCTTATTGACAATCATACTACATCTCCATTTATTATTTACACAGTAATAAGTGTACATTGGAAGATACTCTTTTAATTTTTATTCCCCTGCTGCTCGATGTGGGCCTATGAACACTTACCGGTACATGGACACATTCTTCTTTTATTTCTTTTTAATAATAGGAACTGTTGGGTGTACATCAATGAGATAGCAATATTTCATAAAGTAGAACCAGCAAAGCCAAAAGTTTTTTTTGCAGTCATTTATACTTTGTAATAGGGTCATGTGATATCTCAAAGAAGTTTTTTTTTTATTATAGATGCATGTTTTCTTTTTGTACTCTAGTTTGATGGAAGACTCATATTTGTGCAAGGATCCATTTAGTACTGAGGGAGGCTTTATTACTCTTGGCTCACACTGTTCCATGTGTCAGCTGTCTGTCTGCTGTTCTATGGTAACATCATTACTACACCTAATATTTGTCGTGGAATGCATTTCCTAAATTGTTAGAACATGTAACACATTGAATACATGATAATTTTGAAATGTATTTGAGCAGAGTATGATTTGTAATTTTTTTTAGTTTAAACAGTATTTTATTCAAATAAATTGAATTGGATTGGGCAACAGGCAAAGCCTATGTAAGCCCTGTCCATAGATTTGTACTTCAGAGGACAGGGGCGGATCCAGGTTGTTTGAAAGGGGGAGGCGTAATTCCATTAAATGCATTATATATCGCCAAAATTTTTTTTGGTCAACTTTATGCGAAAAGTCATATATACATAATGGTAAACATGATATAATTATTTTTTTTGGCAATCAAGGGGGGGGGGGTGTACCCCCCTGGATATGCCACTGGAGAAAACTTGAATAACATCCTTTTAATATAATCTCATATTAAGTAGACAAATATTTTTAATGACCAATTTTTGTTTAATTATTTATACCAAAATAAAACATGCTAGATTTGCTGATTTCAATGCACACAGATATTTATCAAGAAGACTTTGAATGAAATGCTGTTGAAGCCAGAGATTTAATAATACTTTTGTAGTCATGGTAAAGCGATCGAGAGAACAATCAAAACTTTTTAAAGGTAAAGTTTGCATGAGCGAAATGCAGCCTCAGTTTTTTCATTGAAATTACAAATTTCATACTCTGTACTTACTTGGTTGTGAAATCCTGAATTAATGGTTTTGCTTTTTTAGTTCACCTAACTGAAAGGCCAAGTGAGCTTTTCTCATCACTTGGCATCTGTCTTCGTTGTCCGTTAACTTTTACAAAAATCTTCTCCTTTGAAACTAATGGGCCAAATTTAACCAAACTTTGCCGCATTCATTATTAGAGTATCTAGTATAAAAAAAGTGTCTGATGACCTCGCCTGTCAACCAAGTTCCCTACATGGCTAAAAAACAGAACATAAGGGTAATATGCAAGTTTTGCCTATTATTTCGAAAACCGCAATAAATAGAGAAAATCTGACAGGGGCAAAAAATGTTCACTAATGTTCAGCTCTACCAATTGTCCATTTAAGTCAAAACTGTCAGACAACTTCTTATAGGAATTATTGCCCTTAAATGATGAATTTTACCATTTTAAAAATTTTTTGCCTTTTATCTCGAAAATTATAATAGATGGACAGAAACTTTAAAACGCAAAAAAAGATCAGCAAGACAAGATCTACTACTAAACCAACATGACAAAAAACTTATTAGAGTTATTGCCCTTTAAAGACGATTTTTACCAATTATTTTCCTTTTTGCCTTATATCTTAAAAACTATAATAGATTGATAGAAACTTGAAAAAGGAAATATGATCACCAAGACAAGATCTACAAATAAGTCAATAAAACTGAAGTCTTTAGTCGACTCCATATTGAAGTAATTGCCCTTTAATGACAATTTTCACCATTTTTGCCTATTTTCTTGAAAACTGGAAAAGATTGATAGAAACTTTAAATAGCACAAATGATCAGCAAGACAAGATCTACAAATATGTCTACATGACTGAAATTGTCAGTTAACTCTTAATAGAGTTATTCCCCTTTAATGATGATTTTTACTAAAGAGTGGCCATTGTTGAAGATGCCGGTGAGACACACAGGCTCTATAGAGCATCTAGTTTTATATTTATTACCCTTGATTTATTCAAAAATTGTGAAAATTTTGGCTTCCAAGTAGTCAATATTATAATTATAAAGTTTTGTGCTTTCTTTTGCTGTTCTGTATCATGGTTTGACAGATACAATAGTTGTAAATATTATATTTTATGTTTTACAGGAATGTAGCTTGTTTTATACAAAGAGATTTTGTATAGATTGTGTTAAATCAAAGATTGGAAAGTTTCCTCAAGAAATTCAACAGGTTAGAACTACTTTTTTATTCAGAAGTATTATTAAGTTTTGATGATATGACATTCAGTGCACATTCTTGGTAGATACATGTTTGATCTAAAAGAGCATGTATTTGGCATCCACAGCCACTTTCCAGATACTCAACCATATACATTTGGTTTTAGGTGCACCTTGGATATACTGGCTGTTTGAAATGAGATAAAGTTGCCTTGACTCACATTTCACTGTTCACTGGCTTTTTTTTTAATGTGACTTTACAATCATGTATCTTAGGATTTGACATATTTTTGGATGCCTACAACTTTATCACTTATTGAAGAGCTGGATTTGTATGGGCATACAGCCCTCTCCTAAAGTAGGTCACCTTTACAAACTTTTCCTGACTTTAATTAAATTTTACATGTACATCTGATGTTTGCAATAGACACGTTTCAACCTGCAATCATTTTATGAAGTGATAGAGACGAATCCAGTGATTATAATATTCTGAACATAACTAAAGAAATATATGTTTTGTTTTATCTTCAGGAAATTTCACGTAAAACTTGACAGAAATAAGAATATTTTCAACATGGATGTCATAGTTTAAAGCCATCACAGAACATGTGACGGAGAGCTTTTTATGTTCCAGCAAACATCAACTAAGATTCAAAGACAGTAGTTAGATTAATACAAATTCCTGAAGAGAACGCAGAGACGATAGAAAAAAGGAATTCATATTAATATTATCAACAATATGATGTTCAAATCTTTTTGAAGTAAAATTGGACTATGACTATTTGGAATAAAAAAGACATTTTATTACTTTTTATACAAAAGTCCTACTAATTATTTCTTCCATTTTGATAGAAATAAAAATTTGAAAGAGAACGTAAATTTTTATTAGCTCATATTACCAAAAGGGCTATATGATTTGTTGTTACTTTTTATCTAAATCAGTCAAAATATTTCATTTCTCTAATAAGATAGAAAAACAAAGGATATGGGGTATCCATCCATGACACAAAACAGCACAGGAAAAAACACAAAAATCAAAGGAAAACAATGCTTTTATTGCAATTCGTTGATTTAACCTTAAATGAATAAATATAATGGATATATGACACAGACAAAATGACAGGTGACTGGTCAGTGTCATATTACTGGTTACCCATCACTTTATATTGTATGGTCATCTGAATTCTTTCCAGTACTGGTAATTGATAAGAATAAAATTAATATTATGGAGATCACAAAATATTTTATTTTGCTCCAAAGTTGTAAAGAAATTATAGTTTTGGTAATCTCTAATATTTCATGTAAATGTACATGATTTGCCATTTCTTTGCACTCATTCTGCATGTCTAGATATTTGTTTTTATGCCACACCTAAGGGCATTATGTTTTTTTGGTCTGTGTGTCTGTTGGTTTGTCCGTCTGTCTGTCCCGCTTCAAGTTAAAGTTTTTGGTCACTTCAGGTTAAAGTTTTTGGTCAAGGTAGTTTTTGATGAAGTTGAAGTCCAATCAACTTGAAACTTAGTACACGTGTTCCCTATGATATGATCTTTCTAATTTTAATGCCAAATTAGAGTTGTTGACCCCAAATTTACGGTCCATTGAATATAGAAAATGATACTGTCCCACTTCAGGTTAAAGTTTTTGGTCGCTTCGGGTTAAATTTTTGGTCAAGGTAGTTTTTGATGAAGTTGAAGTCCAATCAACTTGAAACTTAGTACACATAATCCCTATGATATGATCTTTCTAATTTTAATGCCAAATTAGAGTTTTGACCCCAATTTCACAGTCCACTGAACATAGAAAATGATAGTGCGATTGGGGCATCCCTGTACTATGGACACTTTGTTTTTTGTTCACTGTTTTCTATTCAGGTAGATAGATCAATGGTAATTTAGAGTTTAACATATTATATCTATACATTTGAATATTGTCTAAGTCCACATTATCCTACTGAAGTCTAAGATGTCCCCCTTTTTGTGATGCATGGCTTTTCCACGTGTTCATTCATCTGTGTGTCAGTTTGTCTGCCTGTCTGGCTTGAAACCACTCTCAAGCTTACAATTCTTGCCAGATTTTTCTGAAATTTATTTTCTCAGGGTTTATTTTAGCAATGTCTTGGACCAGTTTGAAAAACTAGTGTCGATCAATTTTTTAGAAGGAGATATGCACCTTGGAAATATAGATTATATTAAATATTGCATTTTAGGCCTCTCAAGCCTACATTTTTCATAAGACTTTTATGAACTTTTTGTCAAAGGTTTATATAAAAAAAAAATTGAAAAATCAGCACTGATCAATTATTTTGACCCTTTGAAATATTAATTCTTTGGAAATTTGTGTTGTTAGCACTCCTAAGTCTACATTTGTTACCCTTCCGGAGCACGTGAGATCTACATTTGTTACTTATTTTTATGAAATTTATATGAATGGTTTATATCAGTAATGTCTGAGACAACTTAAGAAATCAGTGCCGATCAACTACTTAGACAGAAAAAATTTCTCTTTGAAATATGATTTATATTGTAATTATCATTCTAAGCAGTGTATCCTTAAAATGGAAAAGAATGGATATGGTGTACTAGTATTATTTCATGACATGAAATAACTACATGCACTTGGCTCCAAATAAAAGGAACAGAATTTTTGTTGCAGGTCTTCACCTCAAAATAACAGTGGGCTTTTGACCTCAGCAGAGCAAAAGCTTGCTCCTCATTGCATATCCATGACAGCTCCTAGCACCAGTTTGAGAAGAATTCTTTTTTAAATGTTGATAAAGCTACATCTGTACATTGAGTCAGGGATATAGAAATCCTGACGTCTGTCCTTTCCTTTGTCCATCACACTTTTGGTTTCCAGATGATTGAGAACTGCTTTTTGATTTGAAATAAATTGAAATTTTAATAGAATGTTGGACCACTGAAGACTGGTCATGTTCAATTTTCATTGTTTTCACTTTTACCATTTTAGAGCTACAGTAGAAATTCTAATTTTTTTGGTTTTAAGATGATAAATAGAAAACCTCTTTTTGAAATTTATAGAAATTTTAATGGAATGCTTTGGACCACTAAAGACAAGTTAAGTTAGATTTTCATCCTTTTCACTTAAACCATTCTAGAGTAATGGTACTTGATTGTTGAAAAAAATTATAAAATTTGGGGTTGCTGGATAATAAATGGAAAGGCCTTTTTGGAAATTGATTGAACTTTTAATGGAATGTTTACTACCACTAAAGACAGGTTAAGTTTGATTTTCATCGTTTTTCACTACATGTACTACCATTCCAGAGTTATGGTTCTTTATAGTTCAAAAAATTCTAAATTTTTAGGTTTTTGTCTCGCCTTGACCGGGTAAAAAATCCAGACATATGTATGCTGTTGGCGGCAGCAGCGACGGCTGTGGCGTCAACAATGTATTAGCTTGTGATTAGGTCTAGTTTATGGAGAACCACTAGTGGTAGGTCAATTACCACATCTCATTTCCATGGAGAATATTTGGTCCTTACCCTTCAGTCATGGTCTATTGACTTTGAAACTTTTGCTAAGTTTACATGTATTAGTTTGTGATTAGGTCAGTTTAAGAGGAACACTAATGTTAAGCTGAGACTACTATAACACATATAAGTAGTCTCAGTGTTAAGTCAATGATATTTTGTATGCAAATGTATTGCAAGTTTCGTTTCCATGAAGATTATATTACCCCACCCCCCTCATTATGGTTCATTGATTTTGAAACTTTTACATAGTTTACAAATTAATGTTTGTTTAAAGGAAAAGAAAAGTCAATGGTATTTGGTATGCAGTTGTAATAGCATTGGCACATCTCATTTCTATGGAGATTGTTTAGCCCTATACCTTCAGTCATGATTCATTAACTTTGAATATTTATTTGCATAACTTACATGTTAAAGTATTGCTATTTTAATTTCAACATTTGCATTACCAAAATAACAAAAAGGCTATTGAATAATAAATGGATTTTTAAATTGATTGAAATTTCAATGGAATGTATAGGACTACTAAAGACAGCTTTAGTTTGATTTTCATAGTTTTCACTTTAACCATTCCAGAGTTATGGTACTTGATTGTTGGAAAATTCAAAGTTTTGTTGTTTTTTGATGATGAGAAAAGACCTATTTGAAATTGATTGAAACTTTAATGGAATGTTTTGAATTACAAGACAGGTTATATTCGATTTTCTTTGTTTTCAATTGGTTCCAGAGTGATGGAACTTGATTGATGGAAAAATTCAAAATTTTGCGGTTTCAGGATTATTTGAATTGAGATCTTATTTTTTAAATTGATTGAAATTTTTTGGATCACTTAATCAAGGGTTAAGTTTCGTTTTTGTTGTTTTCACTTATATGTTCAAGCATTTTGGTACTTATTTGTTGGAATATTTGTTTTCAGATAATAAATGGTGACCCCCTTCTTGAAATTGTTTGAATTATCTGTTATGTTAATTTTTGAGAGTTTCCCTCATTTAATCGTAGAATGACATTAATTTTTTAGGGGTAACCATTTTTTATGTGCAACTCTCCTTAAACCCCAAATTTCAATTTCTTTTAAATTTTCAAAATTTAAACAATATAATACCATTGTACACCTCCTACTTTGTTTTTTTATTCCAATTATTTAGGGAGATTTTTATAAGCAAATCATAGGGGCATCATTTACTTAGATTTGCTCAGAGCACCTGTAGTTTTTGGGCTAATGATTGCATATAATGTAATATAAGCTATATTTCCAGGCCTTATGATGGAGATCTGCACCTTGAGAGCAAACAACATAATGCACAGCAGTAAGGTAAAAGAGAGGCAAAAAATACCAACTCATAAGTCGAAAATAGACTGACACACCTTGGCTAAAAAAGAAAAAGACAGACAAACAAAGTACAAACAACACAACACAGAAAACTAGACCGAGCAACACTCCCACCAAACACTGAGGTGATCTAGCTCAGGTGCTCCGGAAGGGTAAGCACAACTTACTCCACATGTGTTGCTCATGCAAGTACAAACCCAATGATAAGTCTAATTCCGTAGGTCACATTAGGGAAAAGGGGACATATCCATCGTCACCTGTGAAACAGATACATTGTATTCCATAACGATCAACCAACTTATGATGACGTCTGTAAAATTTACAAAGGGATGATTTCAACTTCACCACTTGGAACTCTTGGTTTAATAGCTTCCTTGTGAGCAGCAACCCTCTATCAAGAAAATCTTGATAGGAAATACTAGCCCTAGAATACTGTGAACATATTTTAGATTCTTACCATGCAGTGCACATGTCAAGCAATTTAATAAAAACATAAACTCAACTTTCAAAATGATGTGCATGTTTATAACCATGCTTGTGAGGAATACTATTTTGTTGAAAATTTCATTAATTGTACATGATATATAAATCTATCTGGTCTTATGAATGGGTTCAACTGAAATTGTGGACAAAGGAAGATAATTCCAATTCAAAATATTGCCTGGATGTGTTCAATCTTTCACATTTCAAAATGAAATCAATCTTTAGGGAGCTACCATTTGATTTTTATGGGGGGGGGCTAGGATGAAAAAGTTAGTTGTAATCTCTGTCCGGTCTTTTATTTTTCACTCTATTCGGTCCTGCCTTTTTTTTATTAGTTTATCCTGACTTTTTTTTACATAAATTGTCATCCTGCATTTTTTTTAACTCAAAACTCCTGTCCTGACTTTTTTCAAATTTCATCGTAGCCACCACCCCCTCCCATAAAAATCAAATGGTAGCTCCCTTATAGTACATTTGAGTTCTATAAATCTTCAAAATAAGTTATTAAAACTGTAACGTTCTAGCTGATTTTGTAGCCTATCTGTTTCTCATTGTTCTTATTCTAATACAGTGCAGTCCTCTAATTGAGTATTATTGCACTAATGCCATTGCTAGGTGTGACAACAAATTAAGGGTGTATGAAAATATTTACAGGTGCAAGTTAAAACAGTCTGATAGTGCGAATAAAGGATGCTGCTGCTCAGTACCCCTTGCTTATAAGCATCTAGTTAGGTACTATCCACCAATTTGAAAGTTAAGTTGTGCTGGGAACAGTATATCTGTTCCTGGGTTGTGGAAGGCTGTTCCACATCCGTATACTGTCTGGGAAGAATGAATGGCTGTATGTTGATGTTCTTGCATATGGTACAAGAAATCATGTGTGTCTTCTAGATACTGATGATGTATTATGTGATTGAGGTTGGTAAACGGGTCCCAAACTGAGCATGCGTACTTAAGCAATGGTCTAACTAGCGTTGTGTAGCATACAGTTTTGTTTGTTGTGGACAGGGGTGCAGGTTTCTTTGGATGAAGGCCCTAGTTGAATTTGCCTGTTTAGCTATTCTTTCTATGTGTGTGTTCCAATTACTGGTTTTATAGATTGTTACACCTAGGTATTTTGCTGAATCAACCAATTCTAAATTATGCCCATGGATGTTATAACTTCAAGGATCGTGGTTTGTGCTCGTTGGTCACGCGTAGAAGTTGGCTTTTGCTAGGATGGAATTCCATTTGCCAATCAGATTCCCATCTGAACAAGTTGTTCGAGTCTTTTTGGGTCTACATCATTTTTGGATCCTTCTGAACAGTACGCAGTCATCTACAAATAAACGAACTGTTGATGACTGTACGCGGTCCAGTAGGTCGTTGGTAAACAGTAGGAACATGAGTGACCCAAGTACACTGCCCTGTGGTGCAGTGTGAGATTTTTTACCGTCCATTCTCTGCTTTCGGGAGCTTAGAAAGGACATGGTCCACTGAAGTGTTGACCAGCTGATACCATAGCACTGTGCTTTATAGAGTAATCTTTCATGAGGGACTTTATCGAATGCCTTCGAAAAATCAAGCGAGATAAAGTCAATTTGTTCACAGAGATTTATGTTCTTAGCCAAGTCATGTATTGTAAGGATCAGTTGTGATTCGCAGGAACAGTTCTTTCTAAATCCATGCTGAGTGTCGTTTAGGATGCCGTGAGTTTCAAGAAGTTTTACAATACTACTTCAGATTATGTGCTCTAGGATCTTGCATGTATCAACAGTCAAAGAAGCTGGACGGCAGTTACTTGCACGTGATTTATCTGTTAAACGAAGTCTGACAATTTTCTGCCAGATTTTTTTTAATGAATACACCCGTTGCCCATTAGGTCTCTATAGTCAATATTTATTTCACACTGAAACTTATACAGGGGGAGGTACAGCCTATGATCACAACAAGAGTTCAATGTTTACTAAAACTCAACAAAGATACCAGACGGTGATGTTCCTTTGGCACAGTCTTTACGGTGTTTATATACCACAACTCGTTCGCTATGCTCGTGTTTGTAGTTATGGATGTATTAAATGAGCGTAATCTATGTATTACTGGTAAATAATTAAGTCAGGGATTTCGTTACCACAAATAATTTAAAACCTTTACTAAATTCATCCATGGATACAAAGATTTCGTTTGGAAGCTTGGCTGTACCTGTAAAAACGTATTTCAAACGGAATAGCACATCCTAATTTTTACGGTGATGTTGTTTACCGAGCCCGGAATTTTAAAAACGATCCGGGTAAACTGATCAGTCCTTTAAATAAACTTATTTTAAAAGGTTACCAATTCAACACTGTACTTAGATCTTCGAATATTGTTTGTATTGGTATAAATATTGATTTTGTTATCAGTAAATTAAAATCATACTAAATATTATTATTATACACATATGCACATTCACGGTACTACAATCTGTCGATACCTACATTTTGGCATTGCACAATGTTATGTTTTTTTCTCTTGACTGTTAATGACGTCTTTACACTAAATCCATTGGATGGTGGATGTGTACTGCTTGATATTTTAGTCTCAGATAAATGACCTTTTTATTAGTTGTTATTGGCTTTGAACTAGTAGCAGTCAGTAGCTGCAAGTACTCTCGGATCTGTACTTTGTGTCTTATTTGTTGCGAGGGGTGTATAAATACCATACGACGTTGGTCTGTGTTTTTGTTAAATGTTTTTCTGCTTTGTATCGATATGATGAGTTAAGCCCTTTTTAACTGATTTTTGTCCAGCCTGCGACGAAAGTCGCAGTATACGAGACATAGGAATTACTGAAATTACCGGCCAGCAGTAGCGGCAGCGGTGTAAACTATTTGTAAAAACCTTTATATTGCAGAAGGTAGAAAACCTGTAGTCGATTTCACACAAAAAAACTTACGACTTAGATTGATCGTAAGTCATGAACAATTCAGTATAATTACGACCAATTTTAGTCATAAGTTTATTTGTGAAACCGACTCCTGTGTGCTTCATACCTTGTATGCAGATACCTTATGTAACGAAGTTTCCGTCTGTCGTATGTTCGTTGTCCTCGACCTCATTTTTATGCTTCAGCGACTTCTTGAAAAAAAATTTATTTTTTCTGTCATGTGAATTTCTCACTTTAATATTATGAGTAAAAGGATAACTATATTTGGTATACGGGTTCCTTGCAACGTCTACAAGTCCGTCAGTTCACCTGACCTTGACCTCATTATATGGATCGGTGATCAAAGTTAAAGTTACGTGATAAGGTCCGTTTCTCAGATACTACAAGCAGTAGGTCAACTATATGTGGTGTATGGAATGATTGTAAGGGGTACATGTCAGTCTGGCAGGTTACACCTGACCTTGACCTCATTTTCATTGTTCATTGGTCAATGTTAAGTTTTTTGGGTTTTGTTCCTGTTTTTTCAAATACTATAAGCAGTAGGTCAACTATATTTGGTGTATTGAATGATTGAAAGGTGTACATGTCTGTCTGGTAGATATAATCTTACCTTGACCTCAATTTCATGGTTCATTGGTCAATGTTAAGTTTTTGTCTTTTGGTCTGCTTTTCATTTATCATAAGCAATAGGTCAACTATATTTGGTGTATGGAATAATTGTAAGGTGAACAAGCCTGCCGTATGACAGGATTTATTTGAACTTGACCTCATTGTGTCATGGATCTTTAAAAATGTTAAGTTTATGTGATACTTGTAGTAAACCTTTATCTTTAAGACTTTCAACATAAAATCAATTTTCAGTAAAATAGGCGAGACATTTCATCGTGTGCACTCTTGTTATAGTTTGTTCTTATGTTGAACTGTTATGTGTCTGTCCAATGTCAGGAGCCTGTAGTTCAGTGGTTGTCGTTGGTTCATGTCTGTCGTATTTGTTTTGTTATAAATAAGGCCCACAATAAGTTTTCTCATTTGAATTGTTTCATATTCAGTTTCATGTCGGGTCCTTTTTTAGTCGACTATACGGTATGGGTTTTTCTCACTGTTGAAGGCCGTACGGTTGCCTATAATTGCTTGTATCCACTTCATTTGAACTTTGGTGGATAGTTGTCTCATTGGCAATCATACCACACCACGTTATTTTTATATTTTTATTTGGTACGGCTGACGTGCATAAGAATACACTAGAATAATCAGTGGCGTTCGAATCAAAACAGTTGAAGAGTTAAATAAAATACGAAGTAAAAGAGCATTTAAAACCCAAAATTCAGAAAATTCGTGCCATATACATCTAAGGCAATCAATGTCTTCGGTAGAAAAACCTAAGTGTTTCGAATAATTAATTCAACATTTTATAAACGGTAAATTTACAGAAAATTAATATATCAATGATATTTCAATGTCAACACAAAAGTGTGTTGACTACTCGGGGACGAAATTCCACCAGCATTATCATCAACACAGTGGTTTCAGATTCAGGTTCAATATTTTATTAGAGCTCACACGTGTAATACATAAACATGCAGTACATATAAGTATATACACACTATAAAACAAACAATCTACATAGATAGAATAGCTGTCATTCTATAAAGAATAAATCATATTAGATAGTCATCAGGGTCATCAGACATAATTTAGTTCCAGCATTCAAGATCATTTAAGCATTATCATTCAAGCATAAGCCCCAAAAAAGTTTTCCCATTCTGTCAGTAGTTTTAGCCATTTTGACAATTAGTACCCAATAAGAGTTGTAGATGACAAACTTTAACGTTTTAGTGCAACTTTATTAGATAAAAAAAACATGCTTTTCAGTAAAAATGCTGATTTTAAGTCGAAATAAAAATTATAGAATTAAAATAATTATTGCAAGCTTATGATCTTCACTGCCAATTGTAAAAGAAATGTGATTTGGAAACTAAAAGTTGCCATCGTGAAAATGCAAGCTTATTACTGATGTGTAAATGATTCAGAAGGCCATAATAGCATGATGATAAATCTGTATAGGTAAGTTATTATAAAAATTTTTTATTTCAATAATAATACCCTATGTATATACTAGTGATAAGTGTAGGAACTGTTAAAACCATCTGCCACTGCGGCACTTTCCCTGATTATAACCTGATTATATCCATGTCTCGGTTTTACATTCGGTTACCATCGACGTCAAAGGGATAGCACCGAACTGCAGTGTTGTTTACCATCGACGTCAAAGGGATAGCACCGAACTGCAGTGATGTTGAATCATGATTACTAACACCACTAGAAGAACAATTAAAGCATCCAAACGTCTTACAGATGAAACTGGATTTTTTTATGCAACGTAATAAACGCGTCAGCGTGTTTCCTCTAAACAAAAGATACACCCACGGGTCAAGAACTTGATTCCAGCTGGCAAGAGTGAGTGATAGAATGTCAGCTTTTACATCTCTTGGGAAAATACGGCTTTGGTTGATGATTATCCTTATCTGAAATAAAAAGAGATTTGTGCTATTTATGCTATTAATTCATTTGTTATGTTATGTTTGCAGGGACTTCATTTGAACATGGAGATCCGTGTAGCATCATATCAGTCATGTTCAAATAATTTATTTTATTTTGAATATGATATAGTGCTACACAAGAGATGATAACTTTGGATGATAACGCATTTAGAACACTAATTGTTAAGCATCGTTAACTTCTCTATCCTTAAGGATCTGCATGAGATTTTTCGTCACTTTTTTCGATTGCTTTTTTCTGGCGTTGTTTACGATTCTTTTCCCATTTCTCCCTATTTGTTTAATTTAATTCAAAGTTAAAGGGTTGATTGTTTAATGCATGCTGATGACATTATAATTCTGTCAGATTCAGCAGAGGGATTGCAAGAGAGGTTAACGATTCTTAACAATTACTGTTCTAAATGGCGTTTAAATGTAAATGAGAACAAGACAAAAGTTATGATTTTTAATAAAACAGGGAGACATTTTAATCTCCCTTTTTACCTAGGTGAGAAAGCTATTGGTTGTACATATAATTATAAATATTTGGGCATCACTTTTATACCCAGTGAAAAATTTTTTCAATGTAAAGATGAACTGTACAAAAAATCTATGAAAGCATGTTTTAAATTACAACAATGTATGTCATCGTCAAACCCTAGTGTTTCAACTTTACCTTATTTATATGACCATACTGTAAAACCAATTTTAACCTATGGATGTGAAGTATGGGGTATGTTTTCTGTAAACTCAGCTGCATGTAAGAAAAAATATCAATATATTAACCTCATTGGTTGATATCTTTGGCGGAAGTACATGGGATACATCCTCATTCTTTCAATATCCAAGCTGTGGGATGGTCGTGCTCCACGTGTTATCGGCAAAGTAATTATATTCTTTAACTTTTACTTACATTTGCCTTGGTGGCTATATAGCCTTGGTGGCTTTAAGATCTTGGTGGTCATTTATATATGCCTTGGTGGCAATAGACCTAGGTGGTCATTTATATTTGCCTTGGTGGCAATAGACCTAGGTGGTCATTTTTATAATTGTTTACATTTGCCTTGGTGGCAACATTAAAAAGAAAATACTTGCCTTGGTGGCAACATTAAAAAGAAAATACTAGCCTTGGTGGCTTTAAGACCTTGGTGGTCATTTATATTCGCCTTGGTGGCTTCTTAATAGACCTAGGTGGTCATTTTTGACCTTGGTGGTGAAATTTTTTGGGATTTAGACCTTGTCATGGGTAGATATTATTAACCCAGGTGATCAGATATTTGTTATGCCGTTTGTCGGTTAAACGCCGGGAAAAGTGCTATAGCGTTAAAATATTTTATGTATAATTGGAGTTTGTTAAAATATTTTATGTATAATAAGATTTTGTTAGAAAAGAATAGTAAGATTGAGAAAGGGAAAGCATTAAGTGTGAAATTACATGTCATTTGGTATTAGTTTTGTTGGCTTGAGTGATGTGTATTGAATTAAAAGGTGTCTTCGTCGAGGTGCGCGTTCAGCGGTCTGTTTGAATGTACATAGAATATGAATACAATGTTTTAGTTTTCAGATCATGGGTGTTACTGACAAGCTGTGTCTGAAGGAGAAGCAATATGACATTCTACGATAATTCACAGTGGCGTAGCTACCATTGACGCAACAACGCACTTGCGTGCACAAACGAAATGGCAAAAAAAAATCATTATTAAAAAATAATAACAGTCAAAAAAAGAAAGAGTGCGATTGACTGTTACTATATATATATATATATATATATATATATATATATATATATATATATATATATATATATATATATATATATAGAAACCAAGAACTACCGGTCGTCAACGTAATCGGGCGAATCCCGCTGTTGTCGGTATCCAGATTATTGGCGCGTCACACTGTATATACAATTTTTATACCATCTACTAAACGAACTACGAGATCGTCTTGTCAATTCGGAAGAACGTTTTCTTGCCCAGAGGCTTCTTCCAAACAATCTGAAAAGTTTGAATCGGGACCATCAAATTCGCATATTTCGCGCCTACGAGTCCGATATTCAACCAAAAGATCAGTTTCTTCTCGAAATTAAAAGGTGGGTTGCGAGATGGGATATTTATCCATCTAAGAAACCAGACCAACTCTGTGCAACATTGGAGATGACCCCGAAAGAACTTTTAATTACCCAAATATATTCTGTATTCTGCAAATACTTCTCACCATGCCACCCTCAACCGCTACTGCTGAACGCTCTTTCAGCGCTCTGAATCACGTAAAAACGTATCTGAGATCGACCATGGGACAAGAAAGACTTTCTTAGCTTGCACTACTGCACGTTCATTCTGATTTTGACATTGACACTAAAGAAGTTGTTGACACGTTTAACAATGCTAGGCAAAGGAAAATGTTACTCTCCTAAAGGACCTCGGTTGATAACTTCAGTCTTACATACGAACGTCACATTCCTATATCACAAAATTAAAAATTGATTGTTTGAATTGCTTTGTTTTCGTATGTTAACTTATATATGTCATGAGATGATCCAGTTCTCTAGCCCTTTCTTTCTCTGAAGCATAATAAATTGGGGAGCATTGCAAAGTTTTTAGATTTTTTTCTGCTTAAAAGGGTCAAAATTTTTTGCCTCGCTACGCTCGGCATTTTCTGAGTCCACATCATTAGAAGTGCAGCTACGCCACTAATTCATGTCAATGAGGATCAACCTTAAAGGACAGGATTTTTCTGATCAGAATCTGGTGAGTACAAATTGCATGTTTACGTAATGATTTGATTTCAGGAAATATAATAATAAAAAAAAAGAAATGGTGTAAATATAGATATAACACTAAATTATGTTTGTCTGTATTGAAGAGAAAGGCAGAAGATGCCAGTAAGGCGCGATACTTGAATTAAAAAAAAAACATGTGAGGGAACAGCTTTATGTTAAATGAACCTATTTGAAAGTAATTCTAAAAATTTGCCCCTAATTTTGAGATGTTTACTAGTGAATTTGTATATAATTTCATTGATGTGTTGAAAGATGTCACAACAATCTGTTTGACTTGGAAGATTAATTGTTGCAATATTTTTGTTTTGTTTTATCTACTAAATATAATGTTGAATGATTTTGTATACCAATGTATACTAAAATTTTATGTAAAGTGAAATGTTTAAATTCAAATATTTTTGTCTACAGTTCGAGGGACACTGATTCCCTAGTGGTTTTCCACGTGGATTGTAGGCGAAGGGATTTTTCCTTTTCGAAGTGTGACTAATGCTGTACAAGTACAAATAAACAAATTGTTATTGGTTAATATAGTTTTAGCAGAGTTGAGAAGAATCAAGTGGAAATACAATTGTCAATGTTCCTGATTGGGAAGTAAAGAGTGAGTTTGATCCAACAACAGTAAAGTAAGCGACAAGCCAGCATAGTTGACACTTGGAGGTGAAGTCCCTTTGCTTACAACCAGCTTTCATCATGCTGAAGATGTGATACAAATAATGTTCATTTTGTTATGAGTTCATTGCCTTAACGAGACTTTATAAATTTGTATGTGGTCGAATTCATGAGAACTTATTGAATTGTGAAACTATTTATAAAGAACTGTGTACACGTATCTAGAAATGGTTAGTTGCATTGTAAAGAAATAAAAGAATAATATTTAATAAAAGTGTTGAAGACATTTTTGTTTTGAGTTTTGGGAATACTATTCCTTAAGGGAAATCCTTGCTAGTGGTGTTATTTGAGATTGGCATGCAAATATGCTGTATGGACAACAGAGTTTTCTATGCCCATAACTAAACATGAACTGGATGCAAGATTATATCAATCACTGAGGATATGGGTATAACCTCATTGGTTGAAATCTTTGGCGGAAGTACATGGGATACATCCTCATTCTTTCAATATCCAAGTGGTTGGTTTAAGGGCTATATTTAGTCAGGCAATACATATTGACTGTTTGGGTTGATGAGATCCTTGATATGTTCCCCCCTCTCCCACCCATTAGTACCAAAATGTGGATAGGTTTTTCATATTTAGATTTTGATATTGGTATTACAAGTATGCATTTTGGGTTGATGAGCAAGACACAACATTAGAAAAATTACTATGTGATCAAATGTTGACGGAACACACCTTCACTTTAGCGTCTGATGAGGCGATGTTCACAGGAAAAGTCAATGAGGGCAAGTGGATTTGTATATTTGTGCTCGCTATTTCATTACAATGGTAAAAATAAAATTATAGATCTCAGATGACAATATTGTTGATTATCATGCGTCATTTTTTATCTCCAGACTAGTTATGTTGTGAACAACTCGGAGCTATATCCAGTGAGCACTTGTGCATTGCATTGTGCATAGTAGTCCACATTTTGGTATCTGAAACGTATATAGATATTATATTGTATTCGGTTCTCTCCTCTAAAGTTTTCTATGCCCATAACTAAACATGAACTGGATGCAAGATTATATCAATCACTGAGGATATGGGTATTTACAAAAGCTGGGCATACAAACATGTAATTTAAAAACCAGTATCCACTCTTTAACAAAATTTATGAAAGATAAGCTATATAAAAACTGGAAGGAAAATAGAAATAAAGTTTTACAATCAGATCAAGGTAAACTTAATACCTATTTTTCCTTTAAAACTCTATTTTGTTTTGAAAAATATTTGGATTAAGGCAATCAATCTGTAAGATTAGAATAAGCGCTCATCCATTAAGGATTGAGACTGATAGATATGCCAAAATTTATGTGAATAGAACACTTAGAAAATGTTTATACTGTACATTAAATAAAGTTGAAGATGAGATACACTTTGTGACTGAATGTCCACTATATGTTGGTAACAGAAATGAGTTTTTTACTGAAATTTCTCTAACTTGTAATTATTTTCAATCTTTAGACAATTTTTCAAAGTTTTCATGGCTATTTACACAAGAAAATTTAAATATGTATAAATGTTTGGGAAAGTATTTATCTAAAAA